CTCGACTTTTGGTTGAAAACTGTTTTTTACTTTTTCTATTACACAAAAAACACATATTTAACCAAATACTATCAACTTTAACTTTTCAAAATCACTTTTTTCTTAAACACTATTTACTTTTACTGTTAATCATTTTTTCCAAAATCACTTCCAAAAATGCTTTTATAAAGCAAAATCATTTGCAAACACTCCCTAATAAATAAAGTAATAAACACACTCAAGTTGTAGCACTTCTGAAATATTTGTCTGTGATTCACCATAAGATTGTTTGTTAGCTCATTATTCTTTGATAAGCTTAAAATCTGCTTTTATAATTACACTCACCCATGGTTATTTTTTGGATTATTATCTCAAAATATCCTCAACTATCATCAAATTCACAAATTTATCTCATACTTCCACTTTTATTAGAAAAAAGACTCATACTTCAACATTTCTCACAATTACACTTCATTGGATGGATTGGTAAAACTTAAGAAAAAAATCATATTTATATTTCATTTTTTTCACTTCTTTCTAGTTTTAAGTTTACAAATTTGTATTTCTTATATCTTACTGTATTGATAAAAATGTGCGTTTTTAAAAAAACTAAACAGAAAAGCATGATTGTTGAAAAAGATGAAGTTTGAGCCTCTTTTTTTTATAAAAATTAAAGAATAAGATATATTTGTAAATTTGATGATATATAGTTTGGACAAAATAAGCTAATACGGAGTAATACTTATTTTTTTTGAACATTTTTGGAAGCTATTCCACTTTAGACCGATTTCACGATTTGAGTATGTAAATAGTTCGAAAAGATGAAATGACTCTAACTATATGATTAGAATCCCATTTTTTTCTTAAACTGCACTTCTGATTTCACGCTCAATGGTATTTCGATCAAACTATGCAAGAATGAAATTACTTTTTATGCTTAATTTGGTGAAGATGACTCTTTTAGCTATTTATATATAATTTTTATTTTATTTTATTAATAGAGTCTATATATTATAAATACGGACTATAGTTTTTTCATGGGGGAATTTGACTTTGCACCCCATGTTTTAGGCCATATTAGACTTTGCACCCCATATTCAAAATCATTAATATTTGCACCCCATTAGCTCAAAAATTATGAAGGAGTGGGGTGCAAAGTCAGATGATTATATAGTGAAATAGGGTGAAAATATTAATGATTTTGAAAATGTGGTGCAAAGTCCAATATTAACCAAAACATGGGGTGCAAGGTCAAATTCTCCCTTTTTTCATAAATAAACATATTTAGTGCCCGTTTGGTGACCCTATTTCTTGGCTTATCGAGCTCATCAACCAACTTTTTCACTAAACATGTAACTTTTACTTCGTGCACTGTTATGTAATAATAAGAAAAAGTAAGGTTGAAGTTACTTTTCTAACTGTATTGGCTGAAGTTACTGTAGAGGATCATTTTAATATCTTTTATAATTTTTTCTTTACTTTATTTATAAAAAATATTTTAAATATAATTTTTTATAAATCAAGAGAATCAGCCAATCTAGTCACTTCAATCAAATCTTCATAAATTTATCATATTCAGCCAATTCAACAATTTTAATGTTACCAAACAGGATCTTAGTCAATCTCACCGTTTTTGCAATAAACTATGTAATTCAATAGATTCAAATTTACACAATTAATACTTTTTGGGGGTGCTTGGTAAATGACGTTTATGCCGAATAATGGCGGTTTGACCTCTTTCAGCATTTTTAATAGGTGAAAAAGCCGTTTGGTAAATAGTGGCTCGGGACTAGCGTTTTTGAACGAAAACACTGAAATGAAAACGCTGATAATAGGAGAGTTTTGGTTTGGCGTTTTGAAAATTGGTGTTTTCTAGTAATTTTATGGCCAAATAGCTAAATTACTAAACATCTTCTAACAACCCGCCAATTTATTCCGCTAGTCAACCAGCTATTGACAACCAGCTAACATAATCCGCTACCCGCTAACCGCTAACCGCAGAATGCCAAAACACGCCCTTTATGTTTTTTTTACTATCACTATAGTGTCTTTACTATTACTAATCCTACTATTATATTAGTATTACTATCATTATTGTTATTATAACTATTATATTATAGTATCATTTTGTCAATACTACTTTTTTTATGAGTCAATTCCCTAAATAGGACTAAAAAGTGGCAAAATTGCACAAATAGGACTACATTTTTTAAATTCCCTTAATAGGACTATTTATGTGTGTTTGGACAAATATACCCTTGTAACTTGTAAAATGTTTTAATTAATAATAAAATCATAAAAATATTTATAAAAAATCGAAAAAAATACTAAAAATCGTAAAAAAATAAAATAAAATTTATAAAAAATATTTTTAAAAAAAATAAAAATAAAAAATATTTTTTTTTAAAAAAAAAAAATTAAAAAAAATCATAAAATTAAAAAAAAAAACATTACCACCCCTGCCACCCCCCAGCACCACCAACCCCCATCACCGGAGAAAAATATGCCAACATTTTAAATAATGCCATAATGATGGCATATTCAATGAAAATGTTGGCATATTGAAGAGTAATTATGCCATCTTTTTGGCATTTTCAGAAAAATATGGCATTTTTTACCAAAAGTGGAAGAAATTTCACCAATCGGAGGTGGTGGTGCTGGGAGGCGGCGGGAGGCGGTGGGAAAGGTATCCATATATTTTTTTTTCATTTTTTATGGGTTTTTACTATTTTTTATTATTTTTTAAAAAAAATTTAAAAAATAAAAAATTAATTTTTTTATTTTATAAATGTTTTATAAATTTTTTATAATTTTTTTACGTTTTTAAAATATTTTTTACGTTTTTATGATTTTATTATGAATTAAAGCATTTCATTATGAATTAATACTCTTAGGGGTATTTAGGGTAGAATATCAATGTTTAGTCCTATTTAGGGAATTTTAAAAGTAGTAGTCCTATTTGTGCTTTTTAGGAACTCATTAGTCCTATTTAGGACAATTTCCGTTTTTTTATTTCAAGTACATATAACATGTGCAGTTTTTATAACTTTTAATGTTTATTTTTGTTAGAAAATGTAAAGGTATGTAATGTTCTTGCATGTAGTAATATTGAAATATTTATAGTAATAATTAAAAAATACTCCCATTCCGTTAAGATTGTCCCATTTTTTTCTTTTCGGAAAATCCCACTAATATTTTCCCATATCAAATTTGATAAGGTTTATGTGACTCTAAATTATTTTTACTTTATTCTTACTTTATCAATTCAATACCGACCACACAAATTAAACCCTCTTTTCTTAATAACCATGTCACTCTCTCATGTCTCAATGTTAGTGGGACGAAGGTAGTATCAATTTCATTCATGTCGGCCCACTTTAGTTTTTTCTCAACTAGACGAGACACGGTTTTTTCGATTTGATTTTCATTTTTTGGTTAAAAAAGTCAGTCCTAATTTTAATGTGTGTGTGTGTGTGTATATATATATATATATATATATATATATATATATATTTTTGTTCAGGTGAGAAATGTATCTAATGTGAGAAATGAGAATGAATCTCAACCATTGGATTTACGAAGTTGCACTAAAATTGGCTTTATGTTGCAGTAATATTTAAATTTTGCACATGTTGCACTAAAACTATTTCATGTTGCACTAATATTTGACGACGTTGCACCGACATAGCTTCATGTTGCACTAGACACGTGTAATACGGATTTTTCAGAAGTATTTACAGAAATGCCACCTTGCTAGATTGCATATTTCAGTGCATCATGAAGTGTCTTTTACTGCAACTTAGTCGAATCCAATGGCTGAGATTCATTCTCATTTCTCACCCAAATGGTTCTTCTCACTTGAACCTTACCCTATATATATTTATTTATATATATATATGTATATATATATATATATATTGGCTAGACTTTGTAGTCTCTTTTTATAGTATCTGTTCAATACTTCATGTTAACATTCTTGATTGGAATGAGTTTCGAACCTGTAACCTCTTTCTTGAGAGTGTCATAGTAATTCCTCATATATATATATATATATATATATATATATATATATATATATAGAGAGAGAGAGAGAGAGAGAGAGCTCTTCCTGTCCGGAATATGCACCCATATTCCGGACCAGTTAACTTGCAAAAATCATTTGATGATCTTCCCGGTTGATTTTTTTGCTGAAATTTGGTATGGATGAACTAGACTTGATGAGTAACATACAAAAAAAAATTGGGCCAAAAATACCACCGGGTACCACCTCAAATTGAGGTGGCCGGATAGGGGAGTGGTCCGGCCTGGCCGGACCTGAATACTCCTACACACACACACACACACACACACACAAGAATGTTCAGGTCCGAACGTTCGGACGGGAGCCTCCGTCCAAACACCGCCGTTTGGGGCGGTTCCCGGTGGAATTTTTTGATGAAATTTTTTGAGCATGTTCCTCATCGAGTCTAGTTTGTCCATACCAAATTTCAGTTCAAAATTCAATCGGGAAGGCATTCAAATCATTTTTTGAAGTAGACTGCATTTTTATATGTATATTTTGACGCAATCAACTTCAAAAAATTATTTGAATGCCTTCCCGATCGAATTTTGATCTGAAATTTCGTATGGACAAATTAGACTTGATGAAGAACATGCTAGAAAAATTTCATCAAAAAATTCCAGCGAGAAGTGCCTCAAATGACCATGTTCGGACGGCGTTCGAACCGGGAGCTGCTGGACAGGAGCATTCCTCTATATATATATATATGCTCACACATTCATACGGAGTACTCCGTATAAGAGACTGTTAGACACATGAAATAAAAAGGCGTAGTTTAATCAAAGAAACAAACTTACTACTTATCCAGTCTGTCAAAAAGGAATTTCGAATTCCATGTTTTCTTAATTTAACTTTTTTCATTTTCACCATGTTATTGTCCCCCTAGCCCCACCACAAGAAAGAATTGAGCACCATAAACTGAACGTCACCTCAACATATGAGAGCCAGATTAAAGTAGTAATAATATTTGTTGGCAAGGACGCGTTACTAATTTTCAGTTTTTCACACTGGTCGCTCCTTCAACTCCTCAGAAAACCGTTCTGGTTTTTGGAGTTGGAAATCCTCTGGAGTTTCTCAACTTTGGGTTTTAACTTGATTTCTTATACAGAGGAGGAGATTACAGAGAAATGAGTGGCGGTGGAGCAGAGGAAGAGACGACTTTGGAGTTCACGCCGACATGGGTGGTCGCCGCCGTTTGTACGCTCATCGTCGCCGTTTCGCTCGCTGTCGAACGCCTCCTCCATTTCACCGGATTGGTCTCTCCTCATTTTACCTCTTGCTTTAATAGTTGCATTCCAAGCTTTAATAGTTAATTTCCCACCCGATTTGCATTCCAAGCTTGTTTTGCTGTAACTTTTTCGGTTTCCTGACAATGTATGCAGTATCTGAAGAAGAAGAATCAAAAGCCTCTGTATGAAGCTCTCCAGAAAGTCAAAGAAGGTTCTTTCAAAGATTTGACTTTTCTATAATCATACTACATATATGTAATTGTGATGATGCTTATAGTTTATTTTATGAATTATGACATCTATATGGTATTGATGACTGCAAAAATGTTGTGATTGTAGAGCTGATGCTGTTGGGGTTTATATCCTTGCTGTTGACTGTGTCTCAGAAGACGTTGACCAAGATTTGTGTGACTGAGGATGTCATGCACCACTTACTCCCTTGTGCACTTGAAGATGGTAATTCCACTTCATCAGATGTCTCAGAAACAAAATCCCATAACCGCAGGTTGCTCTCAGGAGAAAGTGGTGTTGGTTACTGTGCTGCAAAGGTATCAAATTTCCTGTTTTGGCTCACCCTGATTTAGGGCATATGGCTACAGTGATTTAGGGGGTATTCTCAGATCAGAAGTTTAAAATAATTTCCTAAAAAGAACTGAATAATGGAGTACTTGCTATTGTGAAGTTCAGCTCCAATAAAATTGGAAACATTGACTGTCTATCACTGAAATAAATTTGAATGTCTATACAATTGTTATACAGTATACGTTTTTTTTAATTTATCCCGTCTAATACAAAACAACAAACTCATATATATCGTGTCTGAGTAATTCCACAGGTTGACTTTTAGGATGAAACTTCAAATCATAATATATTACTAGTATGATTTAAGCTTTAGTAATGAGCACACAATATTCAAAATTTGATATGCTACAATGAGCCAAGTCATCCCGTATTGGTTGAACACACAACTAAAAATTCACTCATAAAGCCTCTCGTATAAGGTTGACTTTTAGGGTGAAACAACAAGTCTTATAAGGTTTAAGTTTCTTTTTGGGAAAAGGGGCAAATAAGCCCTCGAACTAATCAAAAAAGTGCAAATAAGCCCTTTTGTAGGAGGTTCCGTCCGGTCATCATCATTTGGGGAGGTTCACGGTGGAATTTTTTTATGAAAGTTTTTGAGCATCTTATTCATTAAGTCTAGTTTAGTCCTACTGAATTTCAGCTAAAAATTCAACCGGGAAGACAGTCAAATGATTTTTTGAAGATAACTGCGCAGTTAAACAACGCAGTATATTTCCGAAAATCATTTGAGTGCCTTCCCGGTTGAATTGTTAGCTGAAATTTGGTATGCCTAAACTAGACTTAATGAAGAAGATGCTCAAAAAAATTCATCAAAAAATTCCACCGAGAACCTCCCCAAATGACGATGATCGGACAGAACCTCCTACAAAAGGGCTTATTTGCACTTTTTTGATTAGTTCAAGGGCTTATTTGCCCCTTTTCCCTTTCTTTTTCAATCAAACATCAATGAAAGGTAATACTCCCCCGTCCCTCCATCCAAAAAAAGTTTTGTTTTAAATGCATTTTTGAAAAAAGCAGAGAGTCAACTTTGGTCAAACAAAACTAATTATGATGTAATTTTCAAAAAAACAAGCCACTAACAATTTGCCTAAGATAGATTTAGTTAAACAAAAAAGTTAATGAATTAAAAAAAAACTAAGCTGTACACTAGTCAATCACGATGCTATTTTGTGTGGAGACAGTATTATTCAGTTTAATTTGAAATTTGATTATATTCCTAAGCACACTGTCCTGATAAGTTAGGAAGTCAGATTATAATGCCTTTTTATTTAAATGTCTCTTACAGCATAAAGTCCCATTATTATCTCTAGAGGCTCTGCACCACCTACACATCTTTATCTTTGTCCTTGCAATTGTGCATGTTACATTCTCCCTTCTTACCATTGTATTTGGAGGAGCAAAGGTGAGTTCAGATATTCGAGAATACTACAGTTTCATGCACTACTCCTTTTATCTATTCAATATTTTTAAATTGTTTATTCTTCAAATTTGTAAAATCATGTCATAGATACGCCAATGGAAGCGCTGGGAAGATGCCATTGCCAAGCTTAATACTGAAAATGGGAATGGTACAGTTTACTGCTTATGTTAATTCTTTCCGAGTCTGTACACAACAGGTGCCCAAGTGTGTGCTTATATGTAGCGAGTGGCCCAACCTGAAAATGCCTTGGCCCAATCTGCACTATTGGCAAAGCCCACTGGCTAGATTGGGGCCCTCTATTGGATGTAACTTATAACTGATCTTATATTTCTATGAGTTTCTTAGACCTATGACTGGAATGCTTTCATACAATAGTGCTAATGGAAAGTGCTTGGTTTACTGCTTATGGAAATTCATCACCTTTTTGCCACCACTATTGGCAATAGATTTTCCCACTTTGAAGCCTTCGACTATTGTATCAATGACAATTTTAATATCCGTTTTTAATTTTTTTTCACTTTGTTCTATGAATATTGAGACCGTGACACTACCGTTTTTACCCGTCTCAGTATTTTTCCTCTTTTAATCTGACTATTGTGATAGTGATACTTTTGGCACTCGTCTTTTCATTTTGCCACAATCACTGGATGACCAAAAATCTCACTATCACAATAGTTGAAGGGTCATAAGTGTCACAGTCACAATGATCAGAGAATTAAATGTGAAAAATTAAAAGACAGGTCTCAAAAGTGGCTCTTTGAGAATAGTTAGAGGACTAAAGTGAAAAAACTGAATGATATACCAAAAGTATCATTGTCACAATAGTCGAAGGACTAAAAGTGGAAAATTTCCTATTGGCAACATTTCATTTGCTCAAAACATTTTTCTGCAGTAGATCTGCACTCAACTAATCAACTTGTGAGAAAGAAAACACTCCCTCTGTCCTATTCTACCCTTTTTGTATCCATTTTAACTTGACATAGATAATATTATTAAATAAGATTTAAAATTTCTTAAAATGTTTTTCTTTTGCAGCTGGGAATCCGGGTCTCACCCATGTCCGTCAACATGATTTTATCAAGAATCGCTATGTGGGTATGGGTAAACGGTCACTCATCTTGGGTTGGCTGGTATGTTCCATAACCTTTTTCCTCTATTTTCAGAATCTGCTGTAAACAAGTATGTGGGAGGATAGTTGCTATAAATATGACTATGAGTGACTAACTAACCTTTTGGTGAATTTTCAGCACTCTTTCTTGAAGCAGTTCTATGGTTCTGTAACCAAGTCAGATTATGCAGCTCTTCGTTTGGGATTCATTACAGTAACACTTCTCATGTAGCTGTTTTGCTTTTCACACTTTAGATGATCTTCATTTCATTTATTAACTATTTTCCTGCAACAGACTCATTGTAGGGGAAATCCAAAGTTCAATTTTCACAAATACATGATCCGTGCACTGGAGGATGATTTCAAGATAGTTGTTGGCATTAGGCAAGAGGCTAAGATGGATTATTATATTGTTGTTGTTTTTGTTATCACTGATTTTTAGCTTTTAATAGTCAATGTTCTGCACTTCTCTGGTCATTAATTCATTATCATGGAAGTTGATCTGTTTTATTTATTATGTGATGCAGCTGGTATTTGTGGGTATTTGTGGTTATTTTCTTATTGATGAATGTTAACGGTATACCATTCTAACTCGTTATGGTTTTATTTTCTTGGCAGTTGCAATTATATTCTTCAGTTCTTCAAAGATTAAAATTATATTCATTTTGTTTTTTACAGGTTGGCATACATATTTTTGGATCGCATTCATTCCGTTTATTGTGAGTGACATTTCTCTGTTAGGCTTTTGTTTTGTTCTTATTATGCTATTTGTATGGCACAATGAATGCTTTTTGGTTCATATACTTTGCAGCTCCTACTTGCTGTTGGGACGAAGTTGGAGCATGTTATAATGCAATTGGCTCATGAGGTGGCTGAGAAACATGTGGCGATAGAGGGCGATTTGATTGTCAAACCTTCTGATGAGCACTTTTGGTTTGGGAGTCCTCAAATTATTCTATTCCTCATACACTTCATTCTTTTCCAAAATGCTTTCGAAATTGCATTTTTCTTCTGGATATGGGTGAGCTAATTGTTTGCACCTCATCTGTGATTGTGCTAACTGCGGAATATGTAGTGCTTCTGCTTAGTATCTTGTTTTGTAACTCTTAGGTGCAATATGGCTTTGATTCTTGCATAATGGGGCAAGTCCGATTCATTGTCCCTAGGCTTGTCATAGGGTAAGGAAAAATATTCATGGGTATATTTTTTTGAGCCCCTCATTTGTTCAGCTTTAGAAATTTTAGTTCATCATTTATATTTTTTCAAAAAATTTATAAATCTCTGATTGTACACTATGATGCGCCCGGTGGAATTAACCATCACTAATAATTTTTGCAAAACTTAACCACGGTGAACTAAAATTGTTAAGGTCACATGCCTAAGAGACTAAAAGCACTTAACTCAACATTTATTTTATAGTTATGAGAATTGACAAGTTTTATTGTTATTTTTTTTTTTTTGATGAAAAGTTTTATTGTTATTATTAATGTGAATTGCGAAGCTTGAATATAATTTTAATAAATTTACTCTTTTTTTCCAGTGTAATTATTCAGGTGCTATGCAGCTATAGCACATTGCCACTCTATGCTATAGTGACACAGGTGATTAACTGATTATAGTGTGCAAATAGCCCCCTATCCCCATTTATATTTCATTTTATATCCTTGGTTTGACTTGGTATGAAGTTTAATAAAATAAAAAATGTTTGCTTGAAATTTATTTAGTATAAAAGTGATGAATATGAACCACAGTTTTTTACTCAATAGCAAAGAGAGATCATTTAAGAATGACACTGAAAAGGAAATTATATTTCTCTATATTACTACTTCGAATCACACATTATGATTGTTTAGTTAAATTTTAAAGTATAATAAATATGTTTTATATATCAAAAATTAATTATTTAACCAGTCACAATGAGTGATACATGGAATTAATGAATGATTATTTCTTCAACAGATTTGCCATTTTACCTTTCATGCATAATTTCTTTTTACTTTCTGATTTTGTCTACCATTTGTACAATGAATGATGTTCTATAGTGTTGTTTCTAAATATGCAATTTGTAATTATGAATACTAATATACATATTAATAATAATTAGCTATAATAAATTCTATCATCAGTCAAACCTCAAATATTTTGCTTATCTTGAGGATTGTAATTGTGAGGATCCTCTCTTGATAAAAAGGGGACAAAAGAAATATATTTTAATATATATAAAATGACATAATCTTACTCACTAGTCATGACTTACCAGTTCCTTTAAAAAAAAAAAGTCACGACTTACCAGTTCTTCCCTTCCATTTTTGTTTTGTTTATGTGTGTAGATGGGAACATGTTACAAGAAATCAATTTTTGATGCACACATGCAAGCCAACATTGTGAATTGGGCTCAGAAGGTGAAACATAGAAAGGGACTGAAATCTGCAATGGGAGGTGTGGCCAAGCTGGGCCAGGAGGGTGGTGGTTCAACTGATGGATCCTCCACAGGTGTGCAAATGGGAGGTGTGGTACGCAAGGAATCTGTTTCACCAGATCATGGAGGAGGAAAGTAAGTAGTGTATTGCCTCTGAATGAGCATGCATACAAACTAGAATGACACTGCCAATTTAAATATATTATGATATATATGTGTATGTATGTGGTAGTATATAACAAACATACTGGTAGTCGCTACGGATTTTGTGGAATATTTCTGGTGGCACAACATTTCATTTTTAACGCCATTTGCTTCTCAGCTGCTCCATTGTAGGGGGGGCCTATGTAGATAGAGGTTGTACGAGTTGCCAGTTATAGGTGTTTCTAATGGATGAGACAATTCTATAGGCTTGCACTAGTCTTTTATGAGGCACATATTTGTTGGTTTCTCTAGTTAAGAGTAGAAGATATATATATACATTGATAACAAACTAACCTTCTAATATCAACCAGCTTTTTGTCCTGGCAAATAACTTTTTAACACCATCTAATAGACTATTTAACCATCTTCAGTTAACTATAAACCAACATTCTATTCTAATTAATTAGTTTGATTTCCTATATTGTTCAAGCATGGCAATATATGTATCAAACTAAGCATTGAAACTAGTTCAGCTTGGCTAGGTCGAAACATGTAAGAATATCAGTCATTTGATGGCAAGAGAGATTAGTTTGCCTTCTATTCTCAATAATGAAGTGCCCTATCTGTCTTGATATGCTTTGCTCTTTCATAATCAATTTGAATTTTGGTAACTCCAATTGAAGCGGTGGTCACATACTCACACCCAATGTGAATTGTCTATCAATATGCATCCGTATATACTTCGAGAGTTCGCGGGGACTGAGACTGACTATGAGCCCGTTTAATGACCTTGTTTTTCAGATTATCAGGCTTATCAGTCAACATTTTACCAAACACGTAACTTTTGATTTCACGCTCTGAATTGTGTAATAATAAGAAAAAGTAAGGTTAGAGTTACTTTTTTTTGGCTGTATTGGACTATTGGCTGAAGTTACATTAGAGGATCATTTTAGCTATTTGTTCATATAATTGTTTATTTATTTTTTTAATAAAAATATTTTAAATAGATTTTTTTCATCAATCAGCAAAATCAGTCAATCCAGCCACTTCAACCAGAACTTAATAAATTTCAGCAGAATCAGCCGATTCGGCCAATTTTAGTGTTACCAAACGGCTCTATATGTTTTAGGGTACACTAACTCCTTTCCACAATCCTTTCAGACATTTAAGAATAGTATTCATTGCCTCCATGTGATCAATAAAAGTATATCTCGTAAGTAAAAGTTGTATTCTCTTTTCCATAAGTACGCTTCTGTCCCTTCGAGGTTTCACATAATCAGAGTTTAAAGAGAACAAATAATAATCAATAGTTGAAGATGAACGCTCAAGGGACTGCAAGAGTGTATGACATAAGTGGACTGTTCATCTTTCAAATTAAGTGAGATAAGCCTGTAATGACATTTGTGGGTTGCTTAGGTAGCATTTCGAGTTTTTTTTAAATACTCGCAATACATGATGTCACCACTAAAAGGAAAATAAAGAAAATAAAGATAAAAAGATAAGCTATTCCAATCTATAACATGAATCGCCGGACACAATGTTATGTTGTTAAAAGATCTATTGTAGAGCACAAGAAAGAAAGAAATAAAGAAAGAAGAAACTAGACTTATATTCTTACTCCCAAATTTTCAACTACATTTATCTTATTAACCTGTTCAAAATATTATGTGCCTTAGTTTTGTCCAAGATAGGGTAAGTTTGACACAACTTGCTGAAAAGATACTTTAATAGACTTTTTAGTAACTGTTAGCTTTTAGTGACTGAAAAGATTTTAAAAGTAAAAGGTGATAGTTGTTTGGTAAAAAGCTGACTGTTTGATTTAGTTTTGTTCGGTATACAAGCTGTTGGGACATATCAATGCTAAAAGTCACAAACTTTTCTCAGATGCTACTCGTTGTAGCATCTAAAAAAAAATCTTTTATTTTTTGAAAAGCTCTTAAAAATCATACCAAACATACAACTAGAAGCTTTTAAAGGTTTTTTAAATAGTACTTAAGCCTTCCAAACATAGGCATAAGGTATGTTTGACACAACTAGTTGAAAAGATACTTTTGTGAGCTTTTTAATAACTGTTAGCTTTTAGTGACTGAAAAGTTCTTAAAAAGAAAAGGTGGTAGTTGTTTGGTGAAAAACATACTGTTTGATTCAGTTCGGTTTGGTATACAAGCTGTTAGGACTAATTAATACTAAAAGTCACGAGCTTTTTAAAGATGCTACTTCCTGTAGCATCTAAAAAAAGATCTTTTAATTTTTGAAAATTAAAGCTCTTAAAAATTATCATGCCAAACATATAACTAGAACCTTTAGACACTTTTTGAACTGTACAAAAAGCTAGATTGTGGAGGCTTATGCCTGCCAAACATAGTCATAGTCTTTAACTTAAAAGTTACTCCTTTTGTCCCAATTTAAGATTATCACCTCCATTTTTAGGAAAAATTAAAAGTGTTAAACGATAACTGTACCCATTTTTTTTTTAGTTATATCTATATAAACAATAATAAACACACTCTTAATAACACATGTTCGGATATTGACTCAATACCATTGAACGGGCCCAAATGTGCTGTGAAGGCCCAAACAAGTTAAGTGGGTGCCACATCGTGGGCCCTATCAGGTGACATCAAGAGAAGCCACACAAGCCACCGAAGCCACTCATCTAGAGTAGGGGTGGTTCGGTACGGTATACCGAATATTTTCTCTGATCTCATACCTTTGTCGTACCAAAATTTTCGGTATACAAAATATATATACCGTTACCTTACCGAAGTTTCGGTATACCGAAGTTTCGGTACGGTAACGGCACGATATCGGTAAATTATCATAGACTGATAAAATACACTAAATCGGTGTTACTAGCGACATATTTAATTCATTTTTAAAATGTTTCAAAATACAATTAATAATCTATTGATGTCATATTCAATATTGAAGAATAATTATTTTTAGTGTACATGGTATGTAAGTAGTTCAACATGCCACGTAGGGGTGGACTCGGGCCGGTTCGGGCCTGGGCTCGGCCGAGCCTCGGTTCATGAAAGGGGAGGCCCGGAACCGGCCCGGGTAACCCCCGGGTCGGGCCGGGCTAGGCCGGACCTCGGTTCAATTTATATTTTTTTTGGCTTTTCCTAATTAACCCCCAACCCTCCCCGCTCACCCCCAAACCACCTCAAATGACCCAAAATACCCAGCCCAACCCAAAAACCTAAAAAAAATTCAAAAAAAAAAAAAGAAAAATAAATAATTTATAAATGCGCAGAATGTGCAGTAAGCTTCAAGAATTTATTTGACTGCCTTCCCGGTCGAATTTTGAGCTGAAATTTGGTATGGACAAACTAGACTTGATGAGGAACATGCTAAAAAAATTTCATCAAAAAATTCCATCGGGAACCGCCCCAAACAGTAAAGTTCGGACGGTCTCTCCCGTCCCTCCGGAGGGACCTGATCTTTTCTGTATATATATATATATACACACACACACACACACACACACACACACATATGTAGGAAATCTTTCCGGTAAGGGTATACCTTACCGGAACCGCCGTGCGGCCTCCACGTTTTGAGGGCCTTCCCGGTGGAATTTTTCGATGAACTTTTTTGAGCATGTTCGCCATCAAGTCTAGTACATCCATACCAAATTTCAGCAAAAAATTCAATCGGGAAGGCAACCAAACGATTTTTGGAAGATAACTGCGTTTTATATTTATATAAAGGGTGCAGTTATCTTCCAAAAACCATTTGACTGCCTTCCAGATTGAATGTTTTGCTGCAATTTGGTATGGATGTACTAGACTTGATGAAGAACATGCTCAAAAAATTTGTTGGAACATATTGTTTTGTTGATGACAAACAAACTAGTGTTACTTTTGTCTATAAGTGATTGCAGGAAAGGAAGATAAGTCGTGCTTTGGAACAAGCCGTAGACCTGAACCCGGAACTATCCTACAACGGACATATATGTTTTGTTGATAACTAACCATGCAGGTGGAACGACGAACAGAACCACTATCAGTTCCATATGGAACGGAAGACAGAACTATCCTTAGTTATGTTCTGTGCGAACGGGAAAGCAATTCAAAATATCAAGGCAAGTCACAAGATTAGAAGATCAACTATTCAAGGAAGGATGCTCAAACGGTCTGCCCAAGACTCCCTATATAAACGAAGCAGCCAAAGAGAAAAAAAGAGGAGCTTGACCGAGAAAAATCTTAAGAGACATATTCACAAAAGCAATATCAAAGTCCAAGGCGTCTGAAACTGCTCACTCGGAGTTCTAGATATAGTTTCTTCTTTCCCTTCTTCATATTGTAATGGGGTTTTGAGGATTGGCTAAGTGTAGCATCCTCGGGTTGGGTTAAGTGTTGTGAGAGCTTTGTTGTAAAGTTGAGAGGCTCTTTACCCGCAAGGTAGAGAAGCGTAACTCTTCCTAGAGAGGATAGAGTTGGGGTGGCTCAAGGGTAGACTAGGAGAGTTTCCCTTGTAATCATTCTAAGGTTTTTTAGTGAAGTTGTCAAAATTCCTCCGAGGGAGGTCGAGGTTTTTTAATCCCTTTGAGCCAAGGGATTTTTCCTCGTTAAATCCTTGTGCACTTTACTATTTTGCATATCCCTTTACCCCACACTAGAACTGAGCGAAAAACTGCCACGGTTCCACACATGCAATTCACCCCCCCTCTTGTGTTGCTAACCGTGTTCATCAATTGGTATCAGAGCCGGTCTTCACCACATAGAGGTTAATACCTTGGGAAGAGATCCGACAAAATGAATACGGTTGACCGATTGGAAGAAGGTTACTCGACTCAACGACCACCATTGTTCAATGGGAAATACTATCAATTCTGGAAGAGTCGGATGGAG